GAGCCTGACGCGGGGCTCGAACTCACGGACCGCGAGATCGTGACCTGACTGAAGTCGGAGGCTTAACCGACTGCGCCACCCAGGCGCCCCTGTTCTATCTCTTTTTAAAAGATAGCTATTGAAGTCTCCAGCCGTTATTGTAGTACTATTTCCCTTTTTCAGTACTATTAATATTTGCTTCATATACTTTGAGGGTCTGTTATTAGGTTTGTAAATAGTGTATCTTTTTTCTGTAGTAAACCTTTTATTAACATACAATATCTTTGTCTATTGTAATCTTTTTTCTTTAAAGTCTATTTGTCTGATATTAGTATAATCATTCCAGCTCTCTTTTATTTACTATTTTCATGGAATATCCTTTTCTGTCCTTTCACTTTCAACCAATTTGAGTTTTTGGACTGAAAGTGAGCCACTTATCGGAAGCATATAGTTGGATCATGTGTTTTAATCCATTGTGTTAATCTCTCATTTGACTGCAGAGTTTAATTTAGTTACATAAAGTAGAAACTAATAAGGAAGGAATTATGCTATTTTGCTACTGCTTTCTTATATGCTTTATAGGCCTTTCATGTATCTCATTCTATTATGGCCTTTTTTTTGTGTTCAGTTGATTATTTCTGTAGTAAAGTTAAAAACATTTTTTAATGTTTATTTATTTTTGAGAGAGAGAGAGAGGGAGGGAGGGAGGGAGGGGCAGAGAGAGAGGGAGACACAGAATCTGAAGCAGGCTCCAGACCCTGAGCTGTCAGCACAGAGCCCGATGCGGGGCTCGAACCCACTAGCCGTGAGATCATAACCTGAGCTGAAGTTATATAACTGACTGAGCCACCCAGGCACCCGTCTGTAGAAAAATCTTTATTCCCTTATATCCTTTTGTGTATGTTGTATAAATACATTTTTGTCCTTACCATGGGGATTAAATTTAGTATCCTAAATTTATAACAATCTAATTTGAATTTATATCAACTTAAATCTGTTCCTATACAGCTCATTCTTCCTCCTTTTACTGATGTCAACAATTATATATTTGTATTTTTGGTGCTCAGTGCCATAGATTAGTAACTCTTTTTATGCATTTGTCTTTTAAATAATGTGGAAAATAAAAAATGGAGTTACAAGGAAAAATTGCAATAGCACTAGCTTTTATAATTGTCACATACTAATCTTTATTTCCTTTTTTCTTGGTAAATGAAAATTTATTATTGCCATGTTTTCATCATCAAAAGTTATTATCTTGGTCTTTCTTTCTTGCCTTTGTATAGGGCCAAAAGAGAGACATTGGCTATTTTGATAACCTTAAAGTGAACTCCAGGAATGTCACTGACAGCATGACCTTTGCAACCAAACCCAGCAACCAGAACCTCATCATTTTCCTCAATAAAATTCAAACAACCATCATTGAGTACAAAGGCTGTGATTTTTTTTGCCATTCTTTTAAAAAATTTATTAATTTATTATTATTGTTTTTTAACTTACATCAAAGTTAGCATATTATACAACAATGATTTCAGGAGTAGATTGCAGTGATTCATCCCCTGTGTATAACACCCAGTGCTCATCCCAACAAGTGTCTTCCTTAATGCCCCTTTCCCATTTAACCCATCCCCCCACGCATAACCCCTCTAGCAATCCTCAGTTTGTTCTCTGTATTTAAGAGTCTCTTATGGTTTGTCTCCCTCTCTGTTTTTATATTACTTTTGTTTCCCTTCCCTTATGTTCATCTATTTGTATCTTAATTCCACATATGAGTAAAGTAGTATGATATTTGTCTCTGACTAATTTTGCTTAGCATAATACCCTCTAGTTCCACCCATGTAGTTGCAAATTGCAAGATCATTCTTTCTGATTGCTGAGTAATACATCCTCTTTATCCATTCATCCATCTATGGACATTTGGGCTCTTTCCATACTTTGGCTATTGCCAATAGCACTGCTGTAAACATTGGGGTGCATGTGCCCCTTTGAAACAGCACACCTATATCCCTTGAATAAATACCTAGTAGTGCAGTTGCTGGATCATAGGGTAATTCTATTTTTAATTTTTTGAGGAACTTCCATACTGTTTTCCAGAGTGGCTGCACCAGTTTGCATTCCCACCAGCCGTACAAAAGAGATCCTCTTTCTCTGAATCCTTGCCAACATCTATTGTTGCCTGAGTTGTTAATTTTAGTCATTCTGACTGGTGTAAGGTGGTATCTCATTGTGGTTTTAATTTGTATTTCCCTGATGACGAGTGATATTGACCATTTTTTCATGTGTCTTTTAGCCATCTGGATGTCTTCTTTGGAAAAGTATCTATTCATGTCTTTTGCCCATTTCTTCACAGGATTATTTGTTTTTGGGGTAAGTTTGATAAGTTCTTTATAGATTTTGGATACTAAACCTTTATCTGATACGTCGTTTGCAAATATCTTCTCCCATTGGGTCAGTTGCCTTTTAGTTTTGCTGATTGTTTCCTTTGCTGTGCAGAAGCTTTTTATCTTGATGTGGTCCCAATAGTTCATTATTATTATTATTATTATTATTATTATTATTATTGTTATTGCCATTCTTGATTAGCTGGAACCTGACACACTTCCTAACGGCAGAATTTGGCTATTTGGCTTCAAGGACTACTTTTTCCAGCACAATTCTTTTGCATGGAAAGTGCCACCAAAAGGGTTGGCCTTCAGGGCTGTGCCAAAATGGGCCTTCTAGCATGTTTATCACTTCTGATCTTGTCGTTGGCTATGGAACTTCCTGGAAGTATGAAAACTATGACACTTGCCCATCCTGCCAGCACCACAGGCCTGAGCAAAAGAGAGAAGCAGCACAGGAAGGATCCACAAGCTTTACCAATCTTTATTTCTTCATATAGTTTTGAGTTACTGTCTAGCATTCTTTCATTTCAACTTGAAGGATTCCCTTTAGCATTTCTTGTGGAACAGCTCTAGTGGTAACATACTCCCTCAGTGTTTATCCGAGAATGTCAGAATTTCTCCTTCATATTTGAAGGACAGTTTTGCTGAATATAGAAATAATAATGTTCTTTTTTTTTTTCTCTCTTTCAGCACTTTGAATATATCAGCACACTACATTCTGGCCTCCAAGATTTCTCATGAGAAATCAGTTGATAACCTTATTGAGATTCCTTCTGGTGAGGAGCTGTTTCCCTCTTGCTGTTTTTAAGATTGTCTTTGGATTTTCATAGTTTGACTATAATGTGGGGGGGGGGGGTTTGTTGGCTTGTTTATACTAGTTGGAATTTGTTGAGTTTCTTAGATTTGTAGATTCATGTCTTAAACCAAATTTGGGAGGTTCTCAATCCTTATTTCCTCAAATATTCTTTCTGCTCCTTTCTCACTATTTTCTACTTATGTGATTCCCACAACATATATGTTGGACTGTTTTATAGTGTCCCACAGGTCATTTAGGCTCAGTTCACTTTTCTCCATTCCTTTCTCTTTCTATTCCTTAAACTAAATAATTTCAATAGCCTTATCTTAAAGTTTGCCAATTCTTTCTTCTGCTTGCTCCAATATACTTTTAAAACATTCCAGTGAATTTTTATTTCATTTATTGTACTTTTCATTTTGAGAATTTCTTTTTAAATTTCTACCTCTTTTTGATATTGATGTTCTCATTTTGTTCATACATAGTTTTCCTGTCTATTCCCATGTTTTCCTTTAGCTCTTCTAGTATCTTTAAGAAAGTTTTTAACTAGACTTCATGCCCAGTGCAGTGCCCAGCGTGGGACTTGAACTCATGACCCTGAAATCAAGACCTGAGCTGAGATCAAGAGTTTGACACTTAACTGACTGAGACACCTAGGTGACCCAAGAAAGTCATATTTAATGTTTTGTCTAATAAGCCGATGTCAGCGGTTCCTCAGAGACAGCTCATGGTGATTTATTTTGTTCCTTTAAATGGTCTATACTTTACTGTTTTTCTTTTTCCCTTTTGTATGTCTGTGATTTTTTGTTGTTGAAACTGGACATTTGAATTTCATAATGTGGAAACTCTGGAATCAGATTGTTCCCCTTCTCCAGAATTTTCTCTCTCCCTCCTCTCTCTCTCTCTCTCTCTCTCTCTCTCTCTCTCTCTCTGTTTTTAAAGTTGTTCAAGGGTGTCTTTGCTTGTGATTAGCCTGAGATGAAAGCTCGAGATCTTCTCAGTTCTTTTCTGACACTCTGTTTCCATGGGTATACATAGAAATTTTCTAAATTTCCCTGTATACATGTCTGATTTTGAATGTCATAATCCTTAAATGTCTGACTCTCGAAGGGGAAAAAAAGGTAAAAAGAAACAGAGAGAAAAAATACCCCAGGGACTGTTCTTCAGTCCCTTGCTAGGAATTTCAACTGGTGCAAGTTAAAACAACAGTGGCCAGCCTCTGGGCTGCATCTCAGTGGTCAAAAGCAGCAGTCAAAAATCAGAATACTGGGGCACCTGGGTGGCTCAGTCAGTTGAGCATCCTACTCTTGGTTTCAGCTCAGGTCATGATCCCAGGATCATGGGATTGAGACCCGCATCAGGCTCCATGCTGAGTGTGGAGCCTGCTTGAGATTCTCTCTTTCTCTCTCTCTCTCCCTCTGCCCCTCTCCCTGGCTTGTGTACATGCTCTTTCCCTAAAATAAAAACTAAACAAAAATACTTGCCTTAAAAAAAAAAATCAGAATACCAAACACCAATATTTGGGGACAAAGTCCTTATTGCCCACAGTGGGCACAGTGGGACTTGCTTATTGCAGCCCTTATTGCTCACAGTGGGAATACCAAACACTAATATTTGAGGACAAGGTCCTTATTGTCCATGGTGGTTCCAGAAAGCCACACCAGGAACATAGATTTGCCTGCTTGCTGTAGGCTTCAATGGATGGAAAATGGGTAGCCATTACTGTGCTAAAACTGAAATTAATAAAAATAAACTGCAATTTACTAGCCAAGCTTTCCCCAGGAAGCTGTAATCATCCATATAGACTCGAGTTCCAAAATACTTACATCAGATGATTTCTGCCAGTATAATTTTTGTGGAAAGACAGATTGTGGAGAGACAGATTCCTGATTCTTCTTACTCTTCTATCTTCCTTTACTTCACTCCAATGTTTTAATGTTGATGACATATATTTTATATTTCTCTTCATATTTCATTCCTTTGTGTTATCATTAAGAATCCCAGTTGCTTTTATAAAAAAAATATTGTATTTAGGTCTTTACCCCATTTTGAGATTAAAAAAAAATGATATGGTGTAAACTGAAGTTCATTATTTAAACAAGTGGATGTCAAATTGTTCCAGCACCATTTGTTGAAAATACTATGTTTTCTTTATTGAGTTACTTTGACAACTTTGTTGAAAATAAATTTACTATATACCTTTGGGTCTATTTCTGCATGCCCTATTCTATTCTATTCATCTATTTATATGTTTTTGTATAAATATCATACTGTCTTAATGACTGAGCTTTAAAAAAACTTTAAATATTTATTTATTTTAGAGAGAGAGGGAGAGACACAGAGTGAGTGGGGGAGGGGCAGAGAAAGAGGGAGACACAGAATCTGAAGCAGGCTCCAGGCTCTGAGCTGTCAGCACAGAGCCCAATGCGGGGCTTGAACTCATGAACCATGAGATCATGACCTGAACCAAAGTCGGCTGTTTAACCAACAGAGCCACCCAGGCATAACTCAAAATCAGTGTAGGTCTTTCAACTATGTTCTTTTTTTCAAAATTTTTTGGTTTTTCTAGTTCCTTTGCATTTTTGAATAAATTACAGAATCAGTTTGGCAGTTTCTCAAAAAAAGCTGATTGAAATTTGGTTAGGAATAAATTCAATCATAAATCAAGTGCACGCTGGGGTGCAGTTCAGGGGAAACTAAGTGCGGGGTTCTAGAGTCTTGTCCTAGTGGAGTCACACAGGACATGCTTAGTTCTGCCAACAAAAGATGTCACAACCTGCGTGAAATGTTGTTTATCAAGAGAGGTCATTAGAAACTAAATGCCCAAGATTTTGATTGGGGTATGATCACAAGATAACTTTATTCTGGTGAATAATCAAATTCCAGACTGCCAGGGTGAAAGCAAGTGTTCAGCATATATAATATTGTTTGTACAAAAGGTTTAGATTCAACAATCCTCTATTACCAGTTAATGGTAGAAATTCTCCTGAAATCTAAGTTTCCAGACAACAGCCGAGGACCAACCTTATAAGATGCTATCAAAGCATAGCAGTCAAACTAGCTATGTTAATCTTTTTCTACACTGTTACCATAATTTATTTTCTAATCTTTCACTTTTTAACTTTACTATTTGTTTTATTGTGTTAGAATACATATAACATAATTTTTCCCATTTTAAGTGCACAATTAGTGGCATTAGTTATATTCACAATGTCGCGTACCATCCATTCACTTTTAACCTATTTGTTTTATGTATAAAGTGGGTTTCTTATAGGCAGTATTTATAGCAGTTTGCTGTTTTTTATCCAAAGTGAAAATCCATGCATTTTAATTCAGAGTGTTTATACCACTTAGATTTTTCATACCATTTATATTTGATTATGGATTAGCTTGGATTTAAGTCTACCACCTTGCTGTTTTTTTTTTTTTTCATTTGTCCTATCTGTATTTTTTACTACTTTTTCCTGCCTTGTTTACTTATTTTTGTTCTTGCTTGTTTGGAATGAACAGTGTATTTTTATAATGCCATTCATCTCCATTGTGGCTTTAATAAGTATAATTGTTATTTTTGTTTTATTTTTAGTGGTTGCACTAGACTTTATACATATTTAACTTGTCACTGTTTACCTTCAAGTAATACAATAGCATTTCACATATAGCATAATAATTTAATGGGGTGCCTGTGTGGCTCAGTTGGTTAAGCCTCCAACTTCAGCTCAGGTCATGATCTCGCAGTTCCTGAGTTCAAGCCCTGCATCCGGGTTCTGTGCTGACAGCTCGGAGCCTGAATCCCACTTTGGATTCTGTGTCTCCCTCTCTCTCTCTGTTCCTCCCCAACTCACACTCTCTCTCATGTCTCTCTCTCAAAAATAAATAATTTAAAAATTTTATAAAAAAATAATTTAAACATACTTCAAATTTATCCCCTTGTAATCTGTGCTATTGTTGTCATACACGTTATTAAATCCCACAATATGTTATTATTATTGCTGTCAACCTGAAGCCAGCAAATTATGATTCACTATCCAGTTGTCCCCATACCATTTGTTGAAAAAAACTTCTTTCCTCCATATAATTGTCTTGACACCTTGTTGAAATCTTGTGATGTCTTTGTCTGGTTTTAGTATCAGAATGATATTAGTTGCATATTCCATTGTATGTATATACCACATTAAAAAATCTATTGATCTGTGATTGGACACTTAGGTTATTTCCACTTTTTGGCTATTGTGAAGTTATGCTGCTATGAACACTGGCATACCCTGTTTTCAATTCTTTAGGGTTTATACCTTGGAGTAGAATTAATGGATCATATGACAAGTCTATGTTTAACTTTTTGATGAACATCTTCAATGATTTTCAATTATATATATACACACACACATACATACATACATACATACATACACATACATATACACACATATTAAAGTTATATCATTAGTGGTCATTCTAGGACTTACTATACACATTTTAACTTATCAGAGGCAGGTTCAGATTTATACTAACTTAATTCCAGTAAGATACATAAACATAACTATATAGCACTATTCCTTTCCCCCTTTTTGTGATATTATTGTCATATATATTATACCTCACACATGTTAAGCTCTAAATACATTGTTGTAATTATTACTTCATATAATTTAATGGCTTTTAAAATAAGAAAATGAAAGAGAGCAAATACATATCTATAGCTTTAAAAAATATTTACCTTCTTTATTATCATTTCCAGTTCTCTTTATTTGTTCTTGTGTATTTGAGTTGGCATCTGGAGTAATTTCTTTAGCTCAGTACAGTTTTGCTGCACCCATTTCCTTTGTGTTATTATTGGCAAGTATTTTATATTTCTATAAGTTATATGCCCAAAGAAACATTATAAACATATTGTTTCATACAATTGTTTTTAAAATCAGCTAAGAGAAGAAAAGAGGAACAAACAGGATCTCATAGAGTTGTGTACAATACTCCATGTGACAACAAAATGCACATTTTTTTCGAGCACCTATGGAATATAAATCAAATGGGCCATATACTAGGTTATAAAACAACCTCAACAAATTTAAAATTTGTTGAGTAACTAGAAATCAACAGTATAAGGATAACAGGATATCCCTAGATACTTGGGAACTAAACAATATACTTCAAAATAATCCATGGATGAAAGACAAAGGCTCAAGGGAAATTTTTAAAAATACAATGAACTGAACAAAAATAAAAATTAAACATAACAAAATTTGTGGAATATAGCCAAAGCAATGTTGAGAGGGGAATTTTAGCAGTAAATGCTTATATTATAAATGAGGGAGTGGCATCAGAAAGATGGCTTAATAATATTCCTCTCATTTGTGACCCTCCTCAACAACAACAATTTGGCATCCATCTATAGTCTATGGGATCCAGTACTACACACCAATGGATCCAGGAGGAGTCTTGCTCACTGTGCATCAGGTAATAGGCATATGGACCTTAGTCCTCACAGAAACCCTTCAGTGACCCAAGAACTGACTCCAGCCCCTCTTGGCCATGGTCCAGGAGCCCCTGGAGAACGCTGTCTTAGACAATCAATTATAGGAAAGAGTCTTTGTGGAAGTCCAGGTTTCCAGTGGAGAAGTTCCATCATACCACTGAAGCAAAAAAATATGAATTTGGATGCATTGGACAAGGTAAGAGGAACAGTTTAACTTATCTGCATCACCCCTTCTCCAAGGTGGCACAGCTCAGGGCCAAGATATCTTCTCAGCTTGTGGTTTCTCCTGCAGGGGAAAGTGAGAGTGTTGAGTGAGCACCTGGCTTTCCTAGCTGTGCAGTATGCTGCCAAAGGGGCCTATTTATTCCTCATGCCAGCCAGAGTACTGAATCATGAGTTACATAACTGGAGGGCCAGGAAGAGGCTGGGAGGACTCCTAGAGGACATTAAAGGAATGAAGATCCTATCAACCACATTGAATTCTCCATCAAAAAGCCCACCCACAAGCTGCTAAGGATGTCTCACCTGCAGATGCCTGCAATCTGGTCCATAGGCACCCCCAGAACTCCGTGTACCTCACCCACATGCCACATCCTATGGTTGGCTCCCTATGTTTGTTCTCAATGGTGGTGGTAAGAGCAAGCTCTGGCAGATGGCTTGTGAGCATGCAAAGAAAGCAGCCCCAAACTGCAGGCTAGGGAGAGACAACAAACATAAATTTTTTTCTACCACCCTTGGGAAAGAAAAAAAGAGACTGTCAGCACCCACCCTGGTGCATTGCAGGGTTGAGAAAAGGCATACAAACTTAATAATTTTGCCATCAAAGGGAGCAAAAAGTGTAGAGTAAGCATGTCCATAGAAGGGCCAAGAAAGCCTCAGAATCACTAGCAGAGCTGACAGAGGTATTTCTCTCCTGTGTGCAGTTAGTAAGACTGGAGGAAGTGACTGCTACTTCAAATGCAAAGACATCAACACAAAACTTCTATGGAAAATCAAAGAAACATAACACCACTCAGGGATCACTACAATTTACTAGTAATCAATTCCAAAGACATGCAGATCTGAGATTTACTAATAAAGAATTAAAAATAGCTGTTTTAAGGTAGTTCATTGAGCTACAAAAAACCTGATTTCAGTGAAATCAGGAAAATATACACAAACAAAATGAAAAGTTTAAAAAACAGATAGAAATTGGGGCCACTGCCTGGCTCAGTCAGAAGAGCATGTGACTCTTGATCTAAGGATCATGAGTTTGAGCCTCATGTTGAGTGTAGACAACACTTAAAAAAATATAACCTTTAAAAAAGAGAGATAGAAATAATAAAAAGTAGCTGCACAAAAATTCAGGAGCTAAAGAATATAATAAATGAAATGAAAAATGAGATAGAGAACATCAACATTAGAATGGATTGAGCATAAGAAAGAAACTGTAAGTTCAAGACAGGAACTTTGAAATTATCTAGTCAGAATAGAATTTTTAAAAAATGATAGAGCAACAAAAGCCTACATGATATATGGGATACCACCAAAAGGAAGAATTTGTAAATGATTGGTGTTCCAGAAGGGGAAGAAAGAAGAGGGCAGAAAGTTTATTTAAAGAAATACTGGCTGAGAACATCTCAAATCTGGGGAGAGATTTAGATTACTAAGCTAATGAAGTTCATAGGTCACCAAACAAACTCAACTTAAAGAGATTTTCTTCAAGGAGTGCCTGGGTGGCTCAGTCGGTTGAGCATCCAACTCTTGATTTCAGCTCACATCATGATCCCAGGGGTGTGGGATTGAGCCCTGTGTAAGGCTCTGTATTGAACATGGAGCCTGCTTAAGAGTCTCTCCCTCTGCCCCTCTGCCCCCACTGGTGCTTTCTCTCTCTCTCTCTCTCTCTCTCTCTCTCTCTCTCTCTCTCTCAAAAAAGAGAGAGATCTTTTTCTCTTTTTTTTGTTTTGTTTTTTTTAATTTATTTATTTTTTTGTTTTTTTTTCAATATATGAAATTTATTGTCAAATTGGTTTCCATACAACACCCAGTGCTCATCCCAAAAGGTGCCCTCCTCAATACCCATCACCCACCCTCCCCTCCCTCCCACCCCCCATCAACCCTCAGTTTGTTCTCAGTTTTTAAGAGTCTCTTATGCTTTGGCTCGAGAGAGATCTTTTTCAAGATACATTCTAATAAAAATGACAAAAATCATATTCAGAGGGAGAATCGTAAAAACAGGATAAGAACAGAAGCTTGTACCTTACAAGGAACCCTCATAAAGCTATCAGTGGATTTCTCAGCAGAAACCTTATAAGGCTAGGAGAAAGTGGGATTATAAACTCAAAGTGCTGAAAGGAAAAAAATGTTATCCAAGAATATTATATCTGGCAAAGGTGTTCTTCAGAAATGATGGGAAAATAAAGATGTTCCTATAGAAAAACACAAGTTAAGAGATCATGTTGGGTTCTCTGCTGTTAGCACAGAGCCCATTTCAGATCCTCTGTCCCCCTCTCTCTTTTCTTCTTCCCCACTTATGCTCTCACTCTCTCAAAAATAAATAAACTTAAAAAAAAAAAAAAAAACAAAGTGGCTGTACCATTTTTCATTCCCACCAGCAACAGATGAGAGTTCCTGTTGTTCTACATCCTTGTTGGCATTTGGTATTGCCAGGGTTTTGTTTTTGTTTTTTGTCAGTTCTTTTATTTTAGCCAAGCTAATAGATGTGTACTAGTTATTTCATTGTTTTTTTGAATTTTTAATTCCCTAATTGAAGCATCTTTTCACATACTTACAGCTATCTGTATATCTTCTCTGGTGAAGTGTCTGTCATCATTTGTGCATTTTTAAATTGTGTTGCTTGTTTTCCTATTGTTGAATTTTGAGAGTTCTATGAAGAGTTTATATACATTGCATACAAGTCCTTAGTATCAGATAACTTATTTGCAAATATTTTCTCTGAGTATGAGGCTTGTATTTTTAATCTTTTAACATTGACTTCTGGGGTGCCTGGGTGGGTCAGTTGGTTAAGCACCTGACTCTTAGTTTTGGCTCAGGTCATGACCTCACAATTCATGATGTTTAAGCCTCATATTGGGCTCTGTGCTGACAGCAGCACCTGCTTGAGATTCTCCGTCTCCCTCTCTCTCTCTGCCCATTCCATGCTTGTGCTCTTTCTCCTAAAATAAGTAAATATTTTAAAAATGATAAAATTGTATTAAAAAACATTGACTTAGAGCAGCATTTTTAAAGTCTAGATTCTTTTTTTTTTTTTTTTTTTTTTTTTTGCATGTGGATATCTAGTGCTTACAACACCATTTGCTGAAAGGACTATTCTTTCTTTCTTCATTGAATTGTCTTTATCAGTTTATTGAAAAAATGACACAGGCATCTATCATAAAACCCAGCAATTGTCCTCCTAGGCATTATTTTAAAAAAAACAAAGATGGGGCGCCTGGGTGGCTCAGTCCGTTAAGTGTACAACTTTGGTTCAGTTCATGATTTTGTGGTTCATGGGTTTGAGCCCCATGTTGGGCTCTGTACTTACAGCTCAGAGTCTGGAGCCTGCCTCAGTTCTGTGTCTTCCTCTCTCTCTGGCTCTCCCCTATTTGTGCTCTCTCTCTTTATTAAAAATAAATAAACATTTAAAAAAAGAAAAAAGAAAAGCAAACATGTAGGTTTATACAAAAAATTTAGTAGTTTTAACATATAGTAATCAAAAATTGGAATCAGCTCTGATGTCCTTCAATAGGTGAATGATTATAAAAACTATGTAGCAAAACCACAAACTAGTATTTAGCAACAGAAATGAAATATTGATATATAAAACAACTTGAATTAGTCTCCAATTATCCTGAGTGAAGAAAGCCAATTCCAATAGGTTACATACTATATGATTCCATTTATTTTACATTCTTGCAATGACAAAATTGCAGAAAGGGAGAACAGATTAAAGAGATGATGGGGTGAATGGGAATTGTTGTGGCTATAAAAGAGCAACATGAGTCCACTTAATAACAGTAATATATACATTATTCTCAAGTGTATATGGAACATTCTCTGGGATAAACTATAACACAAGTTTCAATACATTTAAAGATAGAAATAATACAAAGTACTTTTTTGACCACAGTAGAATGAAATCACACCAATAACAGAAATAAAATTGGGAAATTCATAAATATGTGGAAATTAAATCACACACTCTAAATGACTGATGAGTCAAAGAAGAAATCAAAAGAGAAAGAAAATAATTTGAGATAAATGAAAACAAGGACACAACATACTAAAACTCATAGGATGCAGTTAGGGCAGTACTTACGGGGAAATTTCATAGCTTTAATTTAATTACAAAAACTGGAAAAGAATACACTAAACCTAAAACAAGCAGAAGGAAGGAAGTAATAAAGATCAGAGCACTAATTTATGAAAGAGAGAATATGAAAACCATAGAGAATATAAAGGTAATCAAGAGCTGTTTCTTTGCAAAAGTTAAAAAATTTGATGAGCTTTAGCTATATTGATCAAGGAAATAAGAGAGAAAATTAGATTATTAGAATCAGAAAAAAAGAGGGAAATTACCATCTTACAAAAATAAAAAAAATTATAAAGCAATACTATGAACAACTGTATGCCAATAAATGAGATAGCTTAGATAAAATGAACACATTTCTAGAAAGACAAACTATTGTAATCAACTCAGGTAGAAATAGACAATCCAAATAGATCTCTAACAAGTAAAAAGATTGAATTAGTAATACAAAAAACCTATTTTCAAAAAAAGCACAGGCCCAGGTGGCTTTACTGCTTAAGTCTATGAGACACTAAAAAAATTAGTATAAATTCTTCACAAATTCTCCAAAGAAATAGAACAGTAGGGAATACTTCACAACTTATTCACTCATTCTGTGACACCCTGTCTCTAAAACCATAAAAGACCTCACAAATAAACTTCAAACCAATATATCTTTTGAATATGGACACAAATACAGTGACATGTAAATAGAATTATATACCATCACCATTTGGGATTTATCTTAGGAATGCAAGGATGGTTCAATATACAAAAAAATCAATTATAATTAGATGAGAACTTCTTCAATCGGATCTTAAATCATCTTAAAAACCTACAATTAGTATATAATACTTAATGGCGAGAGACTTGGACACATTCACTCTAAGATCAGTAACAAGCAATGGTATCCACTCTTGCCACTTCTATTCAACCTTGTACCAGAGGTTCTGGTCAGAGCAACTAGGCAGGAAAAAGAAATAAAAGGCATTTAGATAGAAAAAGAAGTAAAACTATTTCTAATCACAGATGACATAATCTGGTATGTAGAAAATCTCCAGGAGTTCATTAAAAAGTATTAAAACTAATAAAAGAGTTCAGCAAGGTTCCAGGATAAAAGATTAACAGGCAAAAATCAATTGTATTTCTATATGCTTGAAATGAACAATCTGGAAGCAAAATTTTAAAAATGTTTCCATTTATAGGGGTGCCTCAATTGGTTAAACGTTGGACTTCAGCTCGGATCATGATTTGGTGGTTCGTGGGTTCAAACCCCTCGTGGTGCTCTCTGCTGTCAGCACAGAGCCCGCTTCAGATCCTCTGTCCCTGCCACCCCCCGACTCTGTCCTTCCCCTGTTAACATGCTCTCTCTCTCTCAAAAACAAAAATAAAAACACTTCCATTTATAATAGCATCAAAAAGAATAACATAATTGGGAATAAATTTTATAAAATAACTGAAAAGTTTATATACTGGAAGCAACAAAATATTATTGAAAGAAATTAAGGGATACTTTCTCAACAAAGGGGGTTTAGAGGGAAAATACATCAACATTATAAAGGCCACTTATGAAAAACCCACAGCTAACATCATCCTAAATAGTGAAAAAAATGAGAGCTTTTCCTTTAAGATCAGTGACAAGGATGTCCACTTTCACACTTTTATTCAATATAGTACTAGATGTCCCAGCCACACCAATCAGACAAGAAAAAGAAATAAAAGGCATACATATCAGTAAGGAAGAAGTGAAACTGTCACTATGTTTGCAGATGACATGATACTATACATATAAAACTCTAAAGACTCCACCAAAAAACTATTAGAATAAATGAGTTCAGTAAAGTTGTAGGATATAAAATTAATACACAGAAGTTGGTTATGTTTCTATACACTAATAATAAAGTAGCAGAGAGAGAAATTAAGAAAACAATTCCATTTACAATTGCACCAGAAGAAT